CTGGTTGGAGTGATAATGTTTGCATTATGTTCTCTTAAAGGATAAATTCTGGATGGACCGGCAACAGGTTCAAATATGGCAGGTTGATCTGGCAGATTAGAAATTGTTGTGTCCTGAAAATGAAAGGTTAACATATTTATTTTAAATAAATTAATTTAAATCCTTAAATTAATATAAGTTATAGTTGAGGTAAGCAAATTATATATATAAGAAATATTTATAACTAGCTTCTGCCCGCGGCTCCGCCCGCGTAAATGTCGGTCATCGCGGTAAAAATGCACTCCCTCCGCGTAAATGTCGGTTATCGCCGTAAAAAGTAGCATGTTTTTCCTCAAGAATCAAAGTTTCTACATACCAAATTCCATCTAAATTTATGACTCATTTTGCATGTTTGTAATTGCCCAAGTTTTCTTAAATTTATGTTAACAACATCATTCTGCTACATAATATTATGTGTTACACATAACATAAAGTCTGTATTTCTCTGCAATGTAAATAGCTTTAAATACACTTTTAAAGTATTAATTGTACTAACCTTATGGCATTGAACACCAGGTACAGCTGTTCTGAACAACTTCTTCTCAATAAAGCATGTGCTTTCAAAATGTTTGCTGCAAAGCATCTTATGTTTTGAATGGAGTTCATCCTGGAATTTTGGTGAAGACCAGGCTTTGTATGGAAAGCAATACTTTGCCCATAATTCACACCTGGAAATTAAAAAAAAAATTAAAATTAAAAAATAAAATACGAAATTAAAATTAAAAAGGAAATTAAAATTATTTTATGGCATCTGCATTGCAATGATAAATGTCCAAATGCCCAGAGACTGACAATGAAAAATGCTAGTCAGAATAGAAAGACTTCTACTGATAACACTGCGGATGGCGACCCTTCAAAAAGGCGCAAATCTGACTATTCCATATGTATGGGTAACAGAGGCATCCATTGGTCTACATTCGTAGAGAACAGGGGAAGGTGTAAAGTTTGTAGCTTGAATAAGGTTCAGTCGAAACCTCATAGTAAATGTTCGCATTGCAACGTGTTTTTGTGTGTAAATGAGAAGAAAAATTGTTTTGTTGAATACCATGAGGTTAATCTGTAATTAAAAACCTAATAATTTAATTATTACTAAGTCAATATTGGATCTCATTATTTTGTAGTTTCTATCCAAGTTCCTAACATTGTGATAACACGAAGTTCCTGACGGCACTTTTAAGTCTAGGTCTTGGTAATAGTACTTCTAGGTATAATAAAAATCTAAAAAAAATCTGTGCGTTTCGTTTTACTTACCTTATTATGAAAATAAAGTTCAAAAGCGAAAATTTGTTAAAAATCACTACCCCGGGGGGAAAAGGGTTAATAATCATATTTTTAATTAAGTTTTATCTAAATAACAATCTAAACTTTCTGTATTTCCTTTGATTGAAAGAGATTTAAAGGATGTAAACGAATAGCATGGAAAGTACTTAGGTAGGTACATACCGCAGAGCATTTTTTGAGCCAGGCTTAGGAAACCGATGCAAAGTGATGCTGGAATCTTTAGAAGGTGAAGATCCACACATGCAACAGATTCTAGTGTTTTCTTTCTGCGAACTCATTGCGAAAATTAAACACACAATCAAACAAGTCACTATCTCAACACCGAGTCTATATCTCACAAACACACACTTAATTTCACCAAAACACAGCCACGGAGGAGCAAACTCGACTCACGGTAACAATGTATGTAGAATTAAATGCAACTAGTTTATTTATTACAAATAAACATAGGTACAAGATAAAATGGTGCGGGAACCGCAGGCAGACATTTTTCTTGTGACGTCAAACGTGTTGCCAGTAGTTGCCACACATTTTCCCCCTTATCTTTTTTTTGTTTTTGTGTATTGATCAATTAAATATGTTATATTTCTTAGCAAAATAATTTTTTTGGGTATCAGAATAATCACAAAATGTATTTTTAAGGGTGACTTTCTTTTTTAGCTCATTGTTTTGGAGAAAACGAAATTGTAATTTTGGTGGCAACATTTTATAATTCATCTCTTTTACTCTAATGTTGTTGTCTCTTTCTTGTTTTCAAGCCCACCTACATCTTGTTCTAAGAACAAAGTTGACAGACCCTGCTCTTTAGTGCCACGTGCCCTACCTCTACATCCATTCTGAGAGTGAGATATAATAGAGTTGTTCGTAATATGAGATGTTATCTTCACTCTAAGAATGGACGTTAGTAATTTATATAACGTCGGAAGACACGTTATTGGCCTATAATTTTTGGGATCCGTGGCACTACCAGATTTATAGACTAGGTGAGTTACTCCTGTAGTCATAAAAGATAGAAGCCAACCCGATTCTAGGCATGATTGAAAATGAGATGCCAAACGTACATGTGAGCTACGGAGCCACTTTAACCAAAAGTTATGCAGTCCGTCTGGTCCCGCTGACTTCCAATTCGGTAGCGAATGAACTGCATAAGCTATATCCATATCTGAAGTTGATACTGGCTTCATTGTATTGATTGACTCACACGATCGTTCGACATCTCGCATCCATTCACCCTCTGTGTGAGTGATAGGCATCGACCATATGTTACGCCAAAATGTATTAGTAATTTTAACATCTGGAAAATGTCCATCACTCACTAAATCAGGCTGCGCCCACTGTCTATAAACCCACCTCTCGTCCCTTTGGAATGTGCGATTCTGAGTATATCGGTAGACTCTTTTTTTATACCTTCGTATACGGTTTGCCCACGCATAAACCTTCTGTTTCAGAAAGTCAATGCGCTCTGTGACTCGTGCCATATAATCACAGAACCCGATACCAGTTCCCGAAAAAGCCTGATTCACAAAGCGCATTACTCTCGGGCGTGTGTTGCCCGATCTGAAACAGATAAGCTTGCCAATGAGTACCCTTGCCTCAGCGATACGACGTTCAATTCTATACTGCCACGACGGCACCAGAGACTTAGGTCGAGGAGCCATGTCAACTCTTGAGAATTTGACACCAGCTACTCGACACGCAGTAACGGCCGCACAAAACAGAATTGAATGTGTATCACTGAGGTTTTCACATTTTTCAAAATATGGTGGTAATATAGAATCAAGGGCACACACTAACGCCTTATTTCGCTTATGCATCGGCAAACGAGGTAAACGTGGTCTGTTTACGAAATTCATGGACCCATATTCCAGGATAGCACCTTCCAAAGTATTCCTTATTATATCATTGTACTGGGTACTTACAGAAGAAGCATCAATTTCCTCTCCTTCAGCAGGAGAAGCCTGTGGTATTTCGAGACCTTGATGCGTGACTGCTTGTGAAGAAGGAAAAGTAGTGAGGCTTATCTGTAAGTCGGAGCGTAGCCTTTCAAGTACAGAGCTATTCAACAAATTACATCGCTTAATGGCTCGCACTTGATCCGATAACTTTTGCACCGTAACGTTAACAGTTGGTTCAAGTTCCTGAAACAGAGTTTCAACACTTGGCACTGCAACAACAGTAGAATTTCTAAGAAAAAGATCTTGCTGTTTATTTGACATGACATTAAATGTCATTTCTCACGTATATTTTTTACCATTATAGAGTTATTTTAATCGAGTTGGGATTTTCTTTTCGTAATATATGTAAATACATATTCTATTCTGAACTTTTCTCAAGTACATTAATTTTGCTGTAATCTAAAATTTTATAAAAATAGAAATTATACAGAAATTCTGACTGCTGTAGATAAGTGTTGCTAGTTATTATTATTATTATTATTACTCCTGCCAAAAATCACTCAACGCGGCTAAAAAGTAGGTATTCACTTTAAAATTAAAACCCTTTAAATGATATCCATTTATGTTTGATCGCTTTTGGTATATCACCAATTTACTATACATTACTACGGAAAAAGAAGTTACCAGTAGGTAAGTATTTCATACAATACAAAGTACGACACATTTTTAAGGGAGTTTTAACTTGAGTTTATAAACCAGCAACACATGGAAAATGGTGATTACAATAATATATTTTAGAAATAATTCAAGGGCTTATTTCCTGAAACAGATGCGAAACAATGCCTCATACCGATGTTAGGTGACTTTTTAATTTTAGTTAGATCGTTCTTTATAATTTCTACACTTATCACTCAAATAATCATAATAAACAATACAAAATATGAAAGCAACGTTTGCGATCCGTATAGGTGTCCAATGACAGTAGGTTGCTACCAAATACTACAAATACAAAAACTACTACTGGCAAAATGTTTCGAAGTGTTTTGTAAGTATCAATTTTATCGTTTTGGGTGACAATGACAACCAGAAGCCTAACGTGTTGTACTCAAAAATAATAGTGAGTCTTAAAGCTTATTAAGAACCTCCAGCCAATGTTCTACATTATTGTTATCGAAAAGTCGGGAGTCATTGGAAATTCTAATTACCATACAGAGATAGGGTCAACTCATATTCAGCAGCAAAATGCTCAAGCATACTTGAAATGAGAATAAAATATTAACATTATTCCATTTAAAAAGCTGAAAATAATTTGCTTGTAAGTACGAGGAAAAAAATATTCTCAACCATTTATCTGTTCTATCTGGATCCTAAATGTGGCAAGAGTTATCGGTATAGTTTATGTATCGCGTAACTACCCTTTTAACCTTTCCACTTCTTTGTGTGTTGAACTACTATTGTCAATAAATAACAGATACCTACTGTGTTTACTTTCAAACAACTAGACTACTATTATTGGTATGTACTTTTATGTTACGAGGCAAGGATATTGATTGGAAAAGGACAGAACTGAAGCATTTACATTAAAACGCACGGCTAGTAATTTTCAGTCGAGGTTAACTGAATATTTAATAGTAAGAACATTCCCGGAATGTTTTTTTTAGAAATGAAAATTGGATTAGTTACAACGAGAATTGGATTGTACTTATTTAAGAGAGTTGTTATTTTGCGCGATTAACATTTGTACGAGTACGAATATTATTGTGTAGTATACACTCATATAAAAAATCAAACGTATACTTCAATTAAGTAATTAAGTCCGCTGCCTCTCTCGCTCTTGAGTCGGATATTAACAAAAGGGAATCCTATTCCACCGGCAGTTATGGTAGCACTTGCTTCGGAATGGTTGAGATCTCTTGCTATAATGCTCTGAAAATAACCACAAGTAAGAATAATAGTAAGAATTTAGTATTAATAAGAGAAACAGATTTTAAATGAATTAGTAAACATCTAAGACTATTTTTCATTTATTTTACATCTTCATGCACTTATGTACATCGGCGGACTTAATGCCCTAGGCATTCTCTACCACCAACCCTTAGGTGGTGTAGAAATCTTGTAGGGTAGGTGATCATTTTTTTTAAATAAAACTAAGCAAAATTTACAAATATTATACAATTTCACTTATAAATAACAATATAATACCACTATATAACTACAATGAATAAAACAAAGACGGATGTAGTTTCCGAATCACCGATTTTGTGGAACAACGATAATTTTGCACGTTTTGTTTGAATGTTTTCTTTATTGTCCTGTACAACGTCTTAAGCTTTTAACAAAACATTCCAAACGGTTCTTTTGCCACATGGGCGGCTTCCTGTACAATAAGGTCAACAGAGTTGTACCGATATTCCACCTAACAAAGGCCATGAGTAAGCGAACGCTTACTAATTATTTGAAGGGGTTAAACTATGACGATACTGAAGCGATGCTTTCGGTAATAGTTTAGTTTGCTAATGACACGAATGCACATGAACAAACTCACACACATTCACACTCACTCAAGCGCGCGCGTGCGCACAATCACACACACACACACGCGCGCACACTCACATACACACACACACTCACATAAACACACACACACATACACATACACACATAATCATTCACACGCAACACACAACAATAATTTATGTACCTCAATTAATATGCTATGCTACTAGAAATAAATTATTTAATATAGTAAAACATTCAACTTTGTAGTGCCGACTTGTGTAAAAAAAAAAGTATATATTAAAATGTAAATGGTGTCCTGAAACACAGGCCTCGAGCCTAGCTTAGGCACCAGTCTCCCACAATATTCTGGAAATGAAAATTTGTATTTTTTGTTTTATTCAAATGTTATGTATACTATATTGTGGTGAGAAATTAAATTATTATTATTATGTTAAATTTGTTCTTTCTCAGCTTTCGCTGGTAGTATTTTGTGACATTTACGGACAAAGTCAAGAAAATGCCACGGGTTCTTGGGTGAAGTTTATTATGTCTATTCGTCTATTGCATTGTGTATTTGTTCATCTATTTGCAGAAATTTTCTTACGATTCTGCAAGTGTTTAGTATAGCAGCTTTTTAAAGTATCATGTAGGTATTGGGTTTCAGATCAATAAGTTTTAAACTAGAATGTATAATTATGTTTCGGAATAATACCAGTCGTGGACAATACTATAGGGACAATGTATACTTTTTGTTGTTTCCAGATTCTTAAAACTTCATCCTATTTTTAATGGGCACACAGTATGCTTTTGTGAAAGATGTAATCTTGTGTAGTGCAGGCCTCTAATGACATTTTTTTTACGTGGGGAATGATTTTCGCACCATACCCTCCGTTGGGGAAACGGAGAGCGTGTTTGCGACTTCGGTCTACTCACTAAAGCACGCGGCGGCTTACCTCGGCAGTCGGGAGGAGCTCCAGGAACGTATTGGTGGTTTCTGGAGTCCTCCCTGTCGTACCCCATGTCTGAGGCACATTCCGGGTCGCGACGCTGCCACGCCTCTCACTGCTGCACCACTCACTCTACACGGTAAGAGGCGCAACGGCGCCCCGCCTTAGACGACACCTGGAGTGTCACCTGTCTTGGGTCGTTTGCAGCGGACACATTGCCCCAAGATGTGGCCGCAGCGACCCTTAGGTGGCGATTGGGGTGCTAGCGACCTCTGCCACTTTCGAGCGGGATCCTAACAACCTAAGGGAGAAGCAATTCCAATTTCCCTACTTTTAGGGAAAATCTGATTCCGATAGCGTTCCGATCACCTTAGTGTGTGTGTCGCCGAGCGTAAAGCGCCTACATCAATTATTGTGTTTTTGCTTTAAACTCGACAGTTTTTTGACATGAAACTATCGTTCTATGATTAATTCTAAGACTGAGACAAGATACGAATCAACTTTTTGTAGAATAATTATTTTTATAATACTGCTCCCATAAAATGTATTTAACATAATTTTAATAAAAAGTGATGAGGTATTTGTATTATCGTTTAAGAACGAATTGTGAATAATTGTACAGGTTAATAATAATTGTACTTTATGAAAATTAAAGGGACAACTGTTTATTCATTAACAAATAATAAATTACGTATAGATTTTTGACAACTATTACAAACTCGTATACATACGTAAACTGTAACTGTTAATAAAACTCATTTTTTAATCAAAAAGAAACAGTTGATATGTCTTACCCTAATAATTTGCTGGCCTGGTTCGCTATAGAATACTTCTTTAACCCTCTTTGTGAATGGAAAAGCCATGTATTCGGCTTTTTGTTGCCATATTAAACGACTATTTAAAGAACTGCCGACAATGAGATCACTTGCGACACACGAAGATACCGCAACCAACGCAAAAATAAATAGTGCAAATAAGTACTTCATTTTGGACGATCTAGTCACTCTCAACTGATCACGCTAGAATCTGACAAAGTACTTACCAATTACAAATGACTATTAACATATTGGTGTAAAATATTTGTGTAAATATCATATTGATAACTTTATCTACGGACTCATGATTAGAGGTCATAAGTGAGTTACATGTTTGGTAATTTCTATACCTATATGTTTAAACCCACAGTTATATAGTTATTATTGTAATAACGTAAATAATTTTCATAAATTAATTTGTTTAAACAATTAAAAGTATCTGATAAGTGCCCCGTTAATAATAATACGAGTAATATTTCGGACATCTGACACACAAATAGTTTCGAACTAAGCAGAGACTGAGAGAACATTGACGGAGAGAATACTTATATGCTTTTTATTTAAAGAGTAATATTTCGGACATCTGACACACAAATAGTTTCGAACTAAGCAGAGACTGAGAGAACATTGACGGAGAGAATACTTATATGCTTTTTATTTAAAGTAAATTCATACATGTTATACATAGAAAACACCACGCCACCGTACTCTGGATCTGTCACCAGAGCGTTTACCGTTTCTGTAATCTTTAGATTTTAACTGTCTCGATTCTGTGTTGACAGTATTTTTATTGAACCAATTCACAATGTCTAAAGAGAAAAAGGGAGAAAGCGAACACATCAACTTGAAAGTCTTAGGTTAAGATAATGACTTTGTGCAATTCAAAATCAAAAAACACACTCCATGGAGAAAATTGATGAATGCTTATTGCGATAGATCGGGTTTGTCAATGCAAGTGGTGCGATGCAGGTTTGATGGGCCGCCAAACAATAAGAATGACACGCTGAGATCACTGGAGTAAGGAGACACAATAGAGGTGTACGAACAGCAGACTGGTGGTTATGTCTCTCTAGTGTATTTTTTAAAATTCAAGGAACTGTCCAATTACGGAAGATGTGGTGTGGTTACCTAATAATATCTCTACTTTAACTTAATTTGAAAATAGAAATATGCAAACATTGTACTTTTGAGGTACACAATTAAGTATCTAAGCTGTGTGAACTTAACAGGGTGTATCTGAAACTGTGGTACTGTAAACTGTATTTAATAAAAAAGAAGTGAGGTAAACCAAATGTTTCAAGGTAACTTCAATCATTATTCTGATTGATTGATGATTATGATAATTATAGTTGACACTTTCAGTTCAGCTTCTAATTGAGTGTGAAAGAGCTTAGTGACACTTCAAGCTGTATTGGTAATAATTTATTGGACTTGTAGTCCATACCATAAGTCAGTACTGTAAACCACTGATGTAATGAAAATCTGAAATAAATTAAATTTCAAAAAACTCCGAAACAAATATTTGCAGATCATACAAACATTTGTCCGATCCTGGAATCGAACCCAAGACCTCAGCACAGCAGTCGCAAACGCTAGTTAATAAATAATATTGCGGACATCTGACACAGATCTAGTTGCAAACTAAGCAGAGCTTGTATTGTGTTGTCGGCTCTTACGACTCCCACGAGATGAATAGGGGTTGTGACACTGCGTATTCTTAATCCGTCACCACACAGGTAACGTTTAAACAAAAGTTAAGACTATTAAGATACATCTGTATTCTCTAAAGATATTATTCTTTTATGTTTGTGATGAAGAACGACACCATTCTTCTTTTTTTTAAGTTTCTCAAACTTTTAGTGACAGGAAACAAAGCGTTAGCCACATTTGTGATCCACGAGAGGAACAACCACACCTACCACCACTCCCCCTCGGGTTTGGGCTTTTTTTACATGTAAACCCCCTCGGGAGGTCATCCTACCGGGATTTGCATTGGGTCGGTGTAAGAATCGAACCGACTAAAGCCACACCATGTACCACTCTGCGTCTGCAATAGGAGGGATCCGGCAACATCTGTTATTAAAACTTCCGGAACCCACCTAGCTTCGGATTTGGGGCGTCTGTGACCCTTACTCACTTGGAAAACTCGCTGAAAAGAAACGAAAGAATTGCTTAAGATCAGTTTGCCGGGAAAACACTCTATTTATTAATTAATACATATACCTACTTCTGTAATAAGTTTAAATAAAAAATAATATTAACAACATGGCTACACAACCTAACCTATGATGATACAGAGAGCCTACTTGTGCCACTAAATTAATATACCTTATATATTTATTTAATTTGAACTAAACAAATAAGTTACGCACGCAGGCACATACACACCCGCACTCACTCACACACACACATCTTGTTTTATTTTGGTTGTCTCTTGTTTGTCTACTTATATTAATTTATTGTAAGCCAGTACATGGTACAAGATATGTTATATTAGTAGGGAAGCACATGGGTATTTACTCGAGCGTCATGGGGACCTATTGGATTTGAAAGATTAGGTAATAGAATGAATAAAAATCAAATAAACTTTAAACTTTAAGCGGTGAGAAAATCTTCTACAGGTTTTTAAAAATGTAAAAAAATATAATTATTATATATTTTAAAGTGACAAGTTTTTAGCGAATGATCGAAAACGCAAAATCGCCATTTTGAAATAACCGACCGTGCAAGATATTATACAGACGGTTCAGCTTGATGTTCCTGTTATACTAGCTAAAAATCTGATTATAATTATGCAGGGTATTTTAAATCTGACAAATAAAGGCACGAAAAATTTAAAGATTTCTTCCATTGTTTTCTTCAAAATAAAAAGAAACGTCAAGGTTTGAGACCCTCCTACTGCTTTATGTTACGCTCAAATCGTCTGATTTTCTTAAGTATGGCTGCTATTTATGTATCCGTAACTGGCCACTTACAGAACAATATTAAAAAAGTAATTTTACATTTAAAAATGGAACTCTTTGGCTGAAGAATACAATTTGTTTCATGTCTGTCATTTGTTTATCCTTTGTGGCGTCATTTTGAAAATTGCGTGTCTTTATCACTATGGATTTATATCGTAAAATTTTCGTGTTATTACGATTTTCGGCAAGGGCCAGTAGCGGATTAACCCTAATGCAAAGTAGGCACGTGCCAAGGGCGCGCGCAGAATTTAAATTTAAACAAACATAAAAAGAGCTGTAACAGTAAGTATGCACATGCTTACATGATATTTAGAGGCAGCAATGAGTGGCTAAAAGCCGCTTGCCGAGCCACGATGACACGATCACGATGTACTGGCTTTGGCGCCGTGGAGGTGGTCCAGCCGGTTGTCGTCTGGTAGGGAGAGTGGCAGCACGGGACCCTTTCCTTCCGACTGACACAGATCTTTTCTGGTCACGTCTGCTTAGGGAGGTACCAGCAATCGATGCCTGATTGATCGCCTGTCACCACGGCAGTGCAGTTTGAAAAGTACACACTGGTCAACGTACCAGCCGTCATACGCTCCATGGCGTACCTTCCAGCGCCTCATGCCGCCCTGAGTGTAGTCTCAGGTGGGCATGTTTTTCCTCCAATCGCCACGAAAGCCTACAGCGGGAAGTACGGTGACGCGGCATGTTCCGCGCGCGTCTCTCTATACTTGAAGGAGGGCAAGGTCCTCTGCTCTTAATGGGGTGGCTGCCTATGGCGGCCAAAATCCGCCGGGATTCTCGGGGACTACTTTCCAAGGGCATACGGCAATGTTCCGTCACATGTAAGTTTTTTGCAAGGGATTTCTTGCAAAAAATTTACATGTGACGGAACATCGCCGTTTTAGTCGGTTCGATTTCAAATTCCGACCCGATGAGGTTTCCACACGAAAAAAAAGTGTTCATGTAATAATAATTAATCATCATAGATAGAAATAATGTTAGAGAGATAAACTTCAAATAATATTGTAGACCTTTATTCCGGATAAACTCTTAGATAATGAACAAAACAATAATTTAAGCTTTGTTATTAGTTAATAAACAATTATATTTTAATTACTGAAAATTCCAATATTTTTTTAGTTCCCTAAGTTTAAGAACCATTTAGATGACTTTACATAACATTAACAAACAAATCTACAACCACTAAAACAGATACATATTTATTTTGCAACAAAATATTCTTAGGATCAACTCGAAACCACAGATAATAAATATATCATTATACAGAACTGACTTGCATTGCCGCGAAACGAGGTGTTGTTTCCATATCCAGTGAGTCAGTTGTAACCTGCGAGCGTGTGTCAGAATTTTCGCTACTGTTGTGAACTGAGGTTGACGTCATAGACATTTTTTCATCTTTCATGCTACCATTTGCTTCGACAGAGCTATCAGCATTCGACGACTTTTGTGGAGCATCTACCATGTCACCGCCACCACCGCTAAGAGAATTAAAAAAGCTCTTTGAAGAATCTTTATGAGTAAGTTTCTTTTCTCCGGGAGCTGTGGTTTTTTCTTTGCCGTCTTTTATCTTTTTCCCAAGAACGGGGAAAGAGCTTAATTTAGGTTTCGAATTTCGAATAACGCCACCGCGTTGTATTGGTGTAACTTCTACTTCACCCTCTTCGGTAATGGACGATAAGATGTCAGTCGATTCTGTCGGAACTACTTGACCAGCTTGTATAGGAATGTCATCTGGAAACAAATTATTATTAGGTATATAGATAGCACTTTGTTATTAACACCAAGTACACAGTATTATTTGTGTAGTTATCCGTTATCCTAGAGTCCAATTACTATTAGTTGATTGCGGTTTACAATAATCAGAATAGTAACAGTAAAAGTTAAAAATTAGCTCCTGCTCTATCTAATAGGGAATATGCATGTATTTTTTTTTTTTTTTTAACGATTCTACTATTTATTACATTACCAAAAATAAATATAACACATCCGAAATATAAACCGTTAAGCAAAAAAGAAAATATTGAAATCACTATCATTTTGGGGCAATTTGAACACGTCCATTTTGGCGCGCTTTTTTTGTGACGTCAGATTACACTTTCAGACGAATTCGATGTCAACAACGGAGTAAAGTTCACAAAGTTTCTAAAAGTTAAAAAAGTGAGTGATAAAAATTAACTTATTACCATGGAAAGCCAATAAAAACTTATTATAAATATTGTGCCATTCCTTTGTGCCCAAATAATATCAAAACTGCACCTGACAAAGTATATTCAGTCATTGTGTTGAGTCTTTCTACACGGGAATTTCATAATTTAACACTGAAAACGTATTAGTTATTAACTTAAAATGAAACAAATAATCACCAGAAACCAAATATTACAAATACACACAACTTGTTGACACTCTTGACAGTGTAGGTTGACGTCACGTTTTATTCAACCAATAGCGTTGCGTTTTAGAAATTTGCGAGGGAATCTTAAAAAAGCCAATTTTTGATGATTAAATTTCACTATTAAATCATAATAAATTTCAAAAATAATTGTATGGGTATCTTTTTTTAGCAATAAAAATTACAAATAAAAATATTTTGTCCATTTTGGTGTCACGTGCATTTTCCCTATTATCACTATACATTCAATATTGAACTACATTATGATTTGAATATATGCTTTAATTTCTAGATATTAAGTTAGGTAAGTAGAAAGACAATAAATAATAAATTAACAGTTTCATCCCATTGTCTGAAGAAATGTATGTATTTAATAATGGATAATTTTAACTAAACTTGCAGAACGACATCGAACCTTTTTAAATACTTTAAAGTGAAGGGTTGAATACATATAAGTACAATGCGCCTGATAAGAGGCAGTAATTGCAGCCTAAAGTTAATAATAGATAGGATTGGTTTTTTTATTTGTGTTAGATATAAAGTTCTTTTTTCATTACATACAATACCTATTTTAACACTAATTGATTCTTAAATAAATACGAACAATTAGAAGATATACGTATATTTATATAAAAACGAATGATAAGACATAAATGGCCGGCTCAAGTTAGCTCGAAAAATAGGGGAAATAATAATATAAATGCCCATGAAGCTGAATTTTAGCATAAACCTTAGGAATACCATTATAATGAAATTGTGAAAAGTCTCCAACGATTCTATGGTTGCAAAATTTTTTAAGCGAGGTTAAAGTTAGAAAAAAGGGTTTTGTGGATCTTTAAGCGAAAGAGTGTTCTCTCCGGGGCTGGGAACATCTCTCCTCCATAAGCGCAGGCCTGGGGATGACAGGTAAGGCCATCTGTCACCCTAGCAGAAGCAGGCCGGAATTTTCACAATTTCATTATAATGGTATCCCTAACCTTTTTGCTAAAAATTCAGCTATTAAGAATGTATGCAAGGGTGAATGTCTATTTTGACCAGACAATAGGGTCAAAAGAGAAAAATAACAAATGTATCGCAAATTGTCGAAATAGTAAAATGTCAAAAAATTACTTAAAAGGGTTAATTGCTTGGATATCAAGTTTTACTTTTTTTGTGCACAATATTCAATATAGGCAGTTGGGTTCTGACGTTCTTGGTCGCTGTACTAGCTGAACCTACCGTTTCATTTGTTATAAGCTAGTGAAATTGGTTCAACTGCCACACAAGCAGTTCGGCTCTGTTACTTGGACGTTGGACCTTCTACTTTGACATTATACGCTTTTCAAAATGTGCGCTTCTTACATTCTTCTGTTTTGACAATTTGCTATCCATTTGCCATTTTGCTCTTTTGAAATTATACTCCCAAAATGACAGATACTCTAATGACGATTACAATGTGTAAGTAACAATTACTGACAATTTCGATACCCTTTCTTTGATCGGTCCTTAGACAAGACAGGGTTTATCTAATTATTACGGCATAACATACTATTGCAACAAAATAACATAACATTGCAACAAAATCTATTATTAATCTACAATCAACAATTCAGAGAATGTTCCAGAGAGCACAGGTTTGGCTGAGCTAAGTTAACTTCATCTGTATCCAAATCAAAAATAATATACTGCAAATATATACTATGAAAAATATGTGTTTTGGCTAGTGTATGTGGTGTTTAAATGTACGGTGGATCATTTTATAATGTACGGGTTTAGGGAATAATATATTTCTGTTGAAATTATAAATTTTCATGTGTAAGCAGACATCCTGTAGCATATCTTTACGGTTTAACTTGTGTACTTGTTGGCTACTAAATTGTATGACAAAATCTCACCTGGTAACTTCTTGGTACGGAATGATGCATTGGTGATCATAGACTTTGACATGGTAACCGTAGTTGTTGCTGGGGATAATGCTACACTGATACCCATTGGCCCGTCACATGGTTGGCCTGAAACACAACAGAAAGGTTTTTGTAATTAATAAATAAATGTAACATTTCATACTTGAATTCTACTTGTTGGTTACAAAGCTTTAATACAGGAGTGCACTAATTAATGGGTTAAAATGATTACAACAATTGATGAAGCAAATATTCACAGATAACTGCCCTCGTATACAGTTTTAGATACCGTTTGTGACCGTAAATGTATATTTAGCAAGTATATGGATCATTCCCTAATGCAGTTTTTTTTAAACAAAATGTGCACATTATGAAGGGTGTAATAGAGGCAGTTTTATTTAAAAAGATTAGTTTCACTAAATTTTTGGACATTAGTAGGTGAGTGGACATATCAATACCCTTGCATCAATATAGGTTTTAGACGCAGCCTACCATGAGAACTTTACCTATAATTCCTTGATAATACTAATAATGTTTCAGACATTTGACACACAACAACACAACATCATCTAGGTTCAAACTAAGCAGAGCTTGTACTATGAAAGCTAGATCGACTGATATACTTTGATACTTTTTTTTTGGAAATACATACATATTATTCATTTTTTAGCTGAAACAACACATTTACCCAGAAATGTTAAAATTTATAAAACAGTAGGTATAATGACATACTTGTTTATTATACTGTTTACATAGAATATTAAATTTTGTCTTATAGTTAAATATATGCGCAAAATAAATTATTCAGTAAAGACTTTTTGTTTAAGGTTCGGAAGCGCTACGGGGCCATCCATAAATTACGTCACACGTTAAAGAGGGGTGGAGGGTATCACCGGAATGTGACATTGTGTAACAAGGGGCACATGTTAAAATTTAATATATTAAAACGCAAAATTTATATGTGAATAAAAACTTTAGTAGTCGTAGGAAGTGATGACAATGAGGCTAAGTTTGCTCCATTATTACTACGGCTATCAGTAAATCTCCGATCATCATCCCATTTGAAACAAGTTCCATTTGATAGTTATTGCCAGTGTCGAGTCATACATATTTAAAAGATCATGAAGCATATGTGGTCTATATTTTTCTTCATATAAAGTCGCTAATCAACACAAGCAATCGCATAAAAAACAGCAGATGTCTCAAAAATTCGTCCCCAAAGAATTGCGGCTAAACGTGCCCGAGAAATTCTTTGTTTAATTAATGATGACGATGCTTTGTATAAGGAAGAAAACGATGTCGACACAACGGATGTTCCTGATGTTCAAATTCAGAACTAAAATAAAATATACCAGTAATAGCTAATATGAAGGACTGGGTCCAAAGTCCATGGACACAAGATGATTAAGTTTTGTATCTTCAATTAACATTATTGGTCGTTTATTGTTTCCTAACTAGTAGTTTGTCCTGTGTGTTATCTAAAATATTGAACTTTACGTTGATTTTATTAAAAATTATTTAATCGAAATAAGAAAAAAACTGTTTCCTTTTAATTATTTTTAAATACATGCATAAAATCTATAAATGTCACATCAGGGGTGGTTAAAAAGTCCTAAAATTCATGTGACGTAATTTATACTTACGTATTACACAGAACACATAAATATTGTACTAATCAATTATTATGTATGCATATTTTTCCGTAAATGAGTCGATACCAGACAGACTTATGCCTACCTAACTGGCCAATCATCAATCATCATCAACAGTCTATAACAGTCCACTGCTGGACATAGGCCTCGACTTACAAAGGAGGTTTTGGCCTACTATACCTTGCTGGCCAGACGGGTTGATATAGGGTTTGTTTCAAGCTTACCTTCTCTTTGCAGTGCTGTTGTCCTGCGTAGTTCCCTTAATCGGCTCTTACGACACCCACGGTATGAATAGGGGTGGTGACATTCCGTATTCTTAATCCGTCACCACACGGACCAATAGTAAAAATGTTTGACAGTACCATAACTTTGAAATAACAACAGAAAATAACTATTGATTATTTTAAAGACAATACCTTCGTGAAATTCCTTTGTTGCAAACATGTTGACCGTCTGATATTTATTTGTTCACATGCTTCTGAGACTGGTTGCAAATCAATTGCTTGTACTACAATATCCATACAGTACTCAATATTACAATGTTGTACGATCACAAACTGTTGTGGACAGTTATTGCATTTAAGTTATACTGCCTACAAGTCTGCTAATTATAAATAATTATGACGATAAACTGGGAAAATTATTATCAGTTATCTGGATGTATAGTATGAGCATACCGTGAGCTAAATTCAATTAAGATAATATGAAATTCTTGTCACAAACCTGTAGGATTGTTTTTCAAGGAATTTATCACAGCACTGGTTACCAACATAACGTCAGGATATAGTTCATACTGTGCTCTTTGGTCTATATCTTTAACTGCTTGATGGGCCAAAGTGTAGAACTCATTAAACATAGCAAAGTATGCTCCTTCGATCATTTCTAAAAGAAAGTTAGATGATACTGGTATCCGAGGTATGGTTTTGTCGGATGTCCCGCCCATTTTTTTGTTGAAACCTTGTGTAACTATTCTGTAAATATAAGTTATTGGCTTAGTACATTTAGTTACGAACATGCCTAAAGTTTGTCACGACAATGTAATGCAAGAATAAATATTTCAATTTTTAATATGCTGGACAGCACGTCAAGTTATTACAAAACTTCAAATTTCCTCAGTTGAAATTGAACTCTGTGTTTGACATGTGGTAGATAATTGTTTGAGGAAATTTGAAATTTTTGGATAGGTTTTCATGCTGTTACTGTACATAAATAAATGAAAATTGTTTTAATTATAATATTTTTCCTTGTCCTGTCCCTTCCGCGAGTAGCTTTTCATTACATATTTTACACTTGCGTTTCTCCGGATTATTTTTGTCAAATATAAAATAAGTCCAGATACTGCTTTTTAATGGTGGCGACATTTTTATTTATTTTTACACTTAATATTTACGTCCGAATATTCTAAAACCTTGGATAAACAGAGTAAACAAATACTTATTATTTTACAGTAGGAATCATGTTGATAAGAAAAACAAAACCTGTACGATCTCGTCACCAATGTTTGTGTGTCAGTGTAGATAACCGACCGAAGGTAGCCAATAGAAAAAATACATACATTGGAACATAAAACCTCCTCCTTTTTTGAAGTCGGTTAAAAACGGGCGCGGCACGCGCCACTCTGGCCCTGCCCTCTTTCACATGTCATTACTTGTCGCAGTTATGAATCCGCATGCGTTAAAGCTCTGCATTAATTTGATGCGGGTGCGAATGCGGATGAAGATTTCTGAATTAATGCGAACATGCCGCATTTGCGGATGCGGATGCGAATATCCGTTATACTTCTAGTATATATATGTACGTATGCAAATCAATAATGCAATATATATGCAAATCCGTGTATTGTAAACGACACCACTGGGGTTTCGATAACTTTTTTTTTTTTGTGACACCATTGTAATGAAGTTCTAACACAAAACTTATGCATTTATCAATATCAATATTATTTTTCATTCGCAAGATCACAACCATGACAGTTTAAAAAAGCTTTACCCAGAGATGTCCAGAAGTTACTTTAAAGATAGCATATGAAGTGAAACAAAGATACGGTGAAAAAAAAAGAATAGTTATTGTATAATTATCGAATCAATTTTTATAACTTTATTGACACACATATATGGTCCATTCATTCAAAATAGCACCGCCCCCTAACTAATCAGGTTCCAAGAAATTATCGTTACATTCGAAGGCTCGGAACCTGATTGGTCAGGGTGCGGGATTGATCGATGCGTCACTATTTTCTTAACGCAAATAAAGTATAGGTATCTCATTTCAGTAAAGAATTACATTTATTAATTAACCATGTACCTGGAAGTAGCAATACAGAAGTGCCTCAACGCAAGCTTTGGCAACAAACTTAATTGGCGGTTGTAAATGAAGAGCAGCGCTGACATGACCTTCAATCGATTCTGTGCATTTATAACTTCAACTTGTGGTAGTGGACCCCAGCTCACAAGCTTCGTGTTACACTCTTCCCATCTACGTAGAGCACTCTCTGTTAAAAACTGTGACCCCAGAGAAAGTGGCTGCAATAAAAACAATACAAAAACATAATAAACAAAATATGTTTTTATTAGTAAGAAAGTTTACTAGTTATATTGCATTAAAAGTATTATTAGAAGAAGTGAAGAAAGCTAAAATTTTTAAACAATTTAAAAATTACGTGTAAACGGCTACATCAAGCTACACGTGTCGAGTGTGTTTATTATTCAGACATGGTAAGTAAGTCTATACAGTAATAAATTAAGTTATATTGCCCCATGAAATAAAGCTAAAAAAATAAACGAAATTTGACCACCAAGCTATTTCTGGTGAACATTATTAGGTATATAAAATGTAGTTAGGTATTTACATAGCATGACAATACGTAGGTACAGACAAAGTTATATTACCTCATGATATATGGAAGACTGGGCCAATGATGGTAGTCTAAATGAGACAACTTTTGGTTTGCCAGCTTCATCCACTACCTCAAAATTATATAAACCTGTAAAAGGAATTACTTTCTGTTACACAAAAAGTAAGAAAAAAATGTTCCTAGCAAGGTAAAATATCACATGGTATAACATTTCATTTCCATTAAATGCCACCATTTTATTAAGTGACATTAGTTGAGGATTCTTCCTTCAAACGTTAATAAAAATACTTACATAAATACTTTGACTAGATGTTTTATATTTTTTATCTTGTTTGTAACTGTTTTGACACTAAACTAATTATACTATCGGATTCTACATAGCTTCAGCTATGAAATAGTAATATTATTATTTCAATATTAATATGCCCGTCTCCCAAAGCCTTCGGTGTGCTTTATTAAAAAGTGTTTCAGACCGAAATAACGTCATAGTTCAAACTATTGACGGGCCTGTTGGTCTAGTGGTCAGTGACCCTGACCGCTAAACTGGAGGACGTGGGTTCGATTAGCACCCAGGATAAATAGTTGTGTGATGTGTGAAGTTGTTATATTATTATTATTAGTTATTATTAAATTAAACACACTTACCTATTAATAATGTTTCTATGCAACGAAATATCTTTTTATTTCCTTGCGCAACTGAGCTCAAGTAGTTGTAAATAAGAGTAGGCACAAACTGGAGGGTAAACCTCTGTAGGTAAGTTTCTTTAGATCTGTAGAAGCTGAACAATTGTGTACAAACATCTTCTAATATCTGTAATAAATATAAACACATTCACCACTGCTGGACATAGGCGTCTCCTTAGGTAGGTAAACACATTCAATTATAAAAAAAACATATAAATTCATAATTAGAGACTTGAACAGCATCCCTAATGTCATTTTTTTGTTTCTGGATTAGGCATTTGAGTATAGTATAGTGAATTGATAGTAAGTAATGTTTTTTGTTGTTTAATCTATCTATATTATGTATATATTTAAATGTTAAGTTGGTTTGTGTACAGTTCATAGTTCATACAGGGTATAGCTAGTAACCTATAATTATGTCTGTAAACGAAAATTAACACGATCATGTGATAGGTAATACATACCTAACGTTTCGATCAGTGGTCACAGGCTGACTCTGACCTGAACTGACAAAAGTAATTCTCGTATTCATACATTACGCAAAAATATAGTTAGTATATTTAATAACCTGTTCATAGTCTGAATCATCTTCAACCTTTTTGCCACTCTCCTCGTTTTCATTGTAGAAAAGACTAAATATTGCTGTTGCAATTTCATGATTGTGTTCATGTTCAGCTGCAAAGCTTTTTATTTCGTTCTCTTGCAACGATGCATATTCATTGAGCCATTCGGCAATCAATTGCTTCCATTCTGCCATTTTAACAGCACCTGAAAAATGCAATTATGAAGTGTAGAAGTATTTCAAAGAGTGCATCATCACATCTCGCACACAGCAGTCGGATTCCAAATCAGGTAAAATCAGTGCTATGATAGTCAGACTGCTGATAAAAATACTTACATATTTCTATATGCATACATCAATTAGACATATTAGAATTATACCCAAATTGTAATAAAGAAATGATTTATTATTCATTATTTTTACACTTCCTGCATTACAATTTGCAGGATGTGGACGTAATGCCACATGGCATTATAATTTAAAAGTACATTTAAAAGTACCTACAAATGAAATGAAATGATCATGCTCATCACACAATTATTTGCCCTGGGTAAGATTCGGTCCCTCCACGATCTCCCGCTCAGCAAGTCACTGACAACGATTAGACCAACAGGCCCGTCATAATAAAATAATGGAGGCGATCCGAAAAACAAGATATTCATTTGTTCATTCTTTTTAAAAATAACTACCGCATAGGACTTCACAAACATACATGAAAAGGACACAAAGAACACCCAGACTTAGAACAATAATTCGGTGATTACACAAAGTGTTGTCCCATGTGGGGATCGAACCCAGAACACTCAGCGTAGTAGAACGCGGCGTGGCGACCGCTTAAACCACTATGCGTAGATTAACACTGATGAAGGCGTGCAATATACAAAGCCTTTTAGGAGTCTTCAAGAAGGTCAAACATTTATAAACAGAATAATTAACTAACTAACGCCCAATGCCCGTTTTCCAAACATACTGTTAATAATTTATGAAAAAGTTGCATTAGAAAAGATATAGGTACAAAACTTTAGGTTTAAAAGAAAATTTGCAGGTGCAGGCTCACAACCACTTGGTATCAAATATTATATTGGTATCAAAGAAATGTACAACCAACACTTTCACTGTAGCGCATCAAAATATTCAAGGAATGTCTAGTAAGCACCTAGAAATTGAATTGTTCATGAGCTGTGACAAATTTGAATTTTTTTGTATTGCAGAACATTGGCTAAAAAGTCATCAGCTCATGATTAACTTCAGTAATCATATATTAGGTAGTTCGTTCAGTAGGGAGCATGATGTACATGGCGGTTCATTATTTTTTATTAGAAAGGATTTAACTTATAGGAACCGTACTGATATTTTAGGCTTCTGTGCTGAGCGGACAATAGAAGTAGCATGTGTGGAGTTAGAGCAACTTATTGTATTGAGTGTATACAGGCCTCCATCCTCATCATATATTAGTTTTGAAAACATTATGAACGAAGTCTTGCAGAAAGTATGTAAGTCAAACAAAAGTGTAATTGTGTGTGGTGATTTTAATGTAAATATATTGGAAGATACATCCTTGAGTACAAGATTTAAAAACCTATTTGGGTCATACAATCTTGATAATATTTTTTTGGAGCCTACTAGGATCACAGCCTCCACAGCCAGGTGCATACATAATATATTTACTGACATAGTGCCACACACCCAAGGAATAATAAACAAACTACATTCTGATCACTGTGGACAGATGTGTGCTTTTGCTATGAAAAACAGAATGGTGGTAACACGAGTTATTACTGAAGTACCTAAAACTGTAACTCGTATGGAAAATTTTAAAAATAAACTCCTTAGTAAACTACCCCGCTTGGGTTATAGTGATGATCCTAATCAATTATATAACGCTTTTTTTAACATGTATTGTTTAGAATTTAAATCAACTTTTACTCCTAAGTTGTCAGTTAAAGGTGCTACAACCTTCAGTGAATGGGCCACTGTAGGTACATATAAAAGGAAAAACAAGGCTTTATGAGCTTTATGAAGAAATAAATTATAATACTAGTATGGAATTTAGAGAATATGTCAAACAATATTCTAATTTATTTAAAAAAAATGTTATTCTGCAAAGGTTAACGAAATAAGATCTAAAATTAGTAATAGTTCAAATAAAATAAGAATGACCTGGGAAATAATTAATACAGAAACTGGAAAAGCACAGAACAAATGTAATAATTACAGCCTTGCAATTGATAATAAAGTAATTAACTCCGATATAGATGTCGCCACAGCTTTTAAAAAAAAATTCACAGACATTCCAGTCTCAATAACAGAATCATCGAATTCGTCCCCCACTATTGCAGAATCTTTATTGAAAGAGAATATTAACATTTGTAATACTGAGTTTAGATTTAATTGTATTACTGATAGAGATATAATAAAAACGTTCAATGCTCTTAATGTTAACAAAACCGCTGACTTTTGGGGTAATTCTGTACAAATAACTAAATCAATTATTAGCGTAGTTGCATCAGAGTTGGCCTTAATTTTCAATAGGTGCATTGAATGGGGTTTATTTCCTGATTTGATGAAACATAGTAAGATCATTCCTTTATTCAAGGCGGGTAGCACGTCTGATCCTACAAATTATAGACCAATTTTAGTGTTGCCTACTTTCAGTAAAATTTTTGAGAAGATTATACTGGATCAACTACAAACTCACTTTAGTGCAAGCAAAATTCTACACAGGAAACAGTTTGGATTCAGAAGAGGTCGCTCGACAAGTGATGCCGGTGTTGAACTTTTGGAAAATATATTTAGTGCCTGGGAGGATAAACAGGATGCCCTGTGTGAATTTACTTTTAAACGAGAATAAAACGAAATGTATTCGATTTTTTACATCTGATGTTACGCAGGTAAAGACCAATGTTCTAATAAATGGAAAGGAGTTGGATCTTGTGGACACCACCAAGTTTTTAGGTATAACACTAGACTCTAAATTGCAATGGGGCCCACACATTGACGGATTGTCGAATAGACTCAGCTCTGCAGCATACGTGGTTTATAAAATTCGTCAATTCACCGATGTAGAAACAGCTAGACTGGTATATTTTAACTATTTTCATAGTGTAATGTCATACGGTATTTTGTTGTGGGGAAATGCTGCTGACATTCAAAGTATCTTTGTGTTGCAAAAGAGAGCTATTCGTGCAATTTATAATCTCAGTTATAGGCAGTCACTGAGGGATAAGTTTAAAGAAATTGGTGTCATGACAGTCGTATCTCAATACATATATGAAAACTTAGTGTATGTAAAGAAATATAATCATTTATTGACAAAGTTTCGCGACATTCATAAAATAAACACTAGAAATAAAGATATACTCGTGTTACCAACCACTAGACTAGAAAAAGTAAGCAAGTCTTTTCGTTGTCAGGGTGTGCAATTTTACAATAGAGTGCCAAGCAAATTCCATGAATTAAGTATTAACAAATTTTAGTAAAGCTAAAACTGTGTGAAAAGGCTTACTACACTATTACAGATTATTTAGACGACAAATTTGCTTGGGATTGATGCTGCTCACTCCCACATTTACGTAGACATCTTTGTTGTTAAGTTTGAAATTGATGGACATTTAATAATTATTTTTTTGGTGTATTTCATATTTTGTTTTCGTATTTCATTTTGCGTTGAATTTGAATTGTATAGTTTTTTTTTTTGTGTAAGTATGTAAATGTGAGTATAGTGTAGGCTTGTAATGTTAATTCATATTTTATTATTTTTCTGGTGGTTTTGAGTGTTTCCACGGCCTACCCAAATGTCCTGCTGGCGGTAGTGTCGTGCTTCGGGTCGTTGATTTTGACCAATATCGGTTAGGCTACACAATGGCTGGAGCCTGTATGCCGTCTGTATAGACTGGCTAGTATGTATGTATAGGCTGACTCAAAACTATGGTAATTTCCTCAAAAGGCCTATCCAGACCCTATACTGTACTCGCACAGTTTTATTTAACTTTGTTTACGGACTTAAAAAAAAGACATCTCTGTGGTTTGTTTCGGCGTTTCTTCCCAGAGTGAGTCTTAGGAAATGCCGGCTCCTTCTAGCTATAAAGTCCGACTTGTAAAAATATCTGAAAAGATTTACTTACAGAAATAAATATCATTTATCATTTACTTGGGCAACCAAGCTTCGAGCCGTAAGACCCGTAATGGAGGATTGGCTCGAGAGGCAACACGGGACCCTCCCATATTGGCTAACGTAGGTGATGGATGCGTCGGAGATCGCCTGTGTCTAATCCGCAAGGAGCCAAGGTCTGAATGCCACCAATGCGATGGATACGGCACTCCACACACTGCCAGAATGCCAGACTGCCACTGCCAGAATGGTGGAGCAGATGCATCGATCGAAGTGGGGATTCTCTCGGTCGGTGCCATGGTACGGAGCGAGAGCGCGTGGAACCTTGCCAATTCCTTCTGCGACCAAGTTATGCTAGCGAAAGAGAAGACGGAGTAGAGCTGGGAGACGTTTAGAACTCTCCCGGTCCTCAAAGCTCTCCTCCGTCGCGACAAGTGAAGCCATCTGTCACTCTGGCAGAAGCAGGCGGGGGTGGGGGTGCGACGCGACGCGCTGCGGAGCGCGCGTTCTCTTTAGGGAGTAGAAGTGAGGTTGTTTGCCCTTTCTTCTCATAAGGCTCAACCCCTTGGAAACAAGCGGTTGTAGATCGGCTCAGGCATATCATAAATTATATAAGTTTAATTTTTATTAAATTTATTTGTTTACAATTTCACAAAACAGAGATTGTGGTTATTGTGTGTTGATCTATGACTTTAGAGTCTACATAAAAGTCGATTTCAAACAATTTCAATTTTTTTATGAAATAAAGGGAAATTGAGTTTGAGTATGAAGGCTTTTAGAGAGTACAAGCCGTAGATGACCTGGGGTCAGTCAGGGTACTAGGTATTTCCTATCTAAAACACCAGACTGGCCGCCTTGTATGGCTATATCCGACGGAATTTCAATTTTAAACGAAAATATAACTTAAAAGTAGAAATGAAATGTATAGACATAGACATTTACAGTTCCTACTCAGTTGAAGTAACACGCGTATCGCTCGTCTACCTGCTATCGTAGGGTGCACAAACCTCGGGGTCGCTTTGTCTAGAAATGTTCTCGTGTGCGCGTTGTGGTGAAAATGCAACTGACGGTACTACGTGTTGCTTATGTAAGCACCAGTTTGACTTCGCGTGCGCTGGCATAACTGAGATCGGCTTCAGAAAGTTAGGAGATCGCAAAAAAACTTGGCGATGCTCTGACTGTAAATCTGTCTCATCGTCGGTGGCACCATCTCATCAGCAAGTATCTCAGCAATTAAGTGAAATGCGGTCAACATTGGACAGCATAATACGACAGTTGGCGCCCCTGGCAACTTTAGTGGAAGACGTAAAAACCATCAAACAGGATATCTCTGATCTGAAAGTCTCCGATGAATATGCACAAAAAACTGCGGATGAATCTTTGGCAAAGTTTGATTCCTTAGAATCAAGAATCACGCGTGTTGAGGAAAATGTCAACGTATTTCATATAGTGAAGGCGGATTTGGACAAGTTCAAGGAAGACTTGCAGGACAAGGAGCAATGGGCTCGTGCCAACAATGTGGAGATTAAGGGTGTTCCGCTCACAAAGTCTGAGAACCTCTATGACATAGTGGGAGTAATCAGTAAAACTATCAAGTGCTCAGTGCGCAAAGAGGAGATAAACTATATAGCACGTGTCCCTAGCCTCAGATCAGACTCTTCTAAGACCATAATAATGGCATTGAACAACCGTTACCTTAAGGAGGAGTTTGTAGCAGCCGCTCGAAAGCATAAGAGTATTGTCATCTCTGACCTGGGATTTAAGGGTGACGGAAAGGTGTTTGTTAACGACCACCTTACTCCCTACAACAAGGCGCTTTTGAAAATAGTGAAGGATGTGGCGACTGAAAGCAATTTC